AAATAAAACAAAACAAAACAAACAAACAACTATAAAAATAAATTTAGTAAATATTCATTTGTTGGTTAATTAAAGAAAGAAAAATGTAATAATAAGAAAAAATAAATAAAAAAAAAATATATCTAAGCAGAAAAAAAAGTAAAAACAAAAAGTAAACAAAACAAAACATTTTTGGCAAAAATTTAAGTAAAATAAAAATGATGTCAATATAAAAATTGAAAAATAAAATAGTATTAATTAAAATATGAAAAAAAAGAAAACAGAAAACAATCTTTTTTAACAGAAAAATAGGAAATTCGCTATGGCCTCGATGGGCCACCATACATTAGCTTCTAAGAATTAACGTTATTGGCTGTTTGAATTAATTGAATGTGTTCTTTTATGATTGCATAAATGAAAAATTCCTCCGACCTCAAGTTCCAATCATTGATGACAATTTCAATAACATTTTGTTCAAGAATGAACACAAGCTTAAATGGTCCGGTGTTTCTCTTTTTTCATTGTTCTATTTTAATTTTTTTTAACTGCTTTTGAGATATGTATTTGTATTGAACTGCTCATACTAGCAGCCAGTTCTTACACACTACACAGTGCATTGAACTAATTTAGTTAAACATTTAATTTATTTTGAAGTCTGCATTATGAAAAAAGCACCCCCCCCCACTTTTAAGGCAGCCTATAAGGGCCTGCATCTGTTGAAATGTGTTTTTTTAATGTCTTTACAACTTACTGACATCGTTAGTGCGATGGAGTATATAAGGTTATACAAAATACCAACATATAAAGTTTTGTAGAGTCAAACTTACGCAATTGCAATCCCTTTCTACTGGCTTTTTTGGTGTTCTTTGTGAAACAAAATTAACCTGAAAGAATAACAACAAATTGTCCATAAACAATACGTARAGAAATAGAAAGTGATAAATTTCAAGCGTGCTATTTAATGAGTTGGTTCTGCGCTACGGGGTAGGTTTTGTTTTGCTTTGACGTTTGGAGTAATGTATTTAACAAATAGATCTCATTTTTCCGTGCGTGTGTACTCTAATAGATACACAGATGACGTCAAAATGTAGTGAGAGCAAAAAAGTACGCACGAGACGCAGTCGAGTGCGTGACTGTTGTTCTCACTACATTTTGACGTTATCTGTGTACCTATTAGAATACACACGCACGGAAAAATGAGATCTATTTGTTTTATACAACAAACAATTAGTTTTGACGTAATGATCCGTGTATCTATACTTTGATAACACACGAAAGCCAACGAATCAAAACGTCTGATTTTACTGAAAAGTTGTATAATTTTTGATATTTTTGTCTGAAATAGGGTATGGGTTTTGTCTGGGATTGGGTAACAATTTGGTCGTTTTAGTCTTAATTAACAGTGCAAATGGCAATATCTAAAAATTTTCCTGCGTATGCCCTCTGTGAGAACGTGTATGCACAGAAGTCTCAGCTAATAATTTCTAAGGAAGTCAATATTTACTTCATAAATCCCAACAATAGACACACATACATCAATGATTCCGATAATTAGTTGGCAAAATGCGTGTACAATTCTAATGGGCAATTTTTTAAATTTTAGGTCTGGGATAGTCCAGTTGAGGTTGAGTGCAAAATATTGCAAATGTCAATATTCAGAATTTTCGCATATGCCCCCTGCGAGAAATGTTATGCACAGACGTTTAGCTATTAAACTAAATAATGACTAAAGGAATTCAATATTAACTTATCCCTGTAAAAAACATACATACATCAATGGAATCACTAGAGGAAGAATCATTTGTCTCCTGAACGCCTGAAAAGCCAACAGCAGTTGCTGATCCCTAAAAAAAACAGAAGTAAAAATCA